TTTACTTGGGCGGGAGGGACGATGACGTGTGGTCACCCGACCCTGACTTTATTTATGTTTCCCCATAGCGTTAAAGGCAGTTACACACGTGCTACGAAGGCCTCGATTGTCGACTCCTTTGTCTACGCGTTTCGTTCAACGCGGCTCGAGCCATAGCCTTGTCGCCATTACACATCCGTACCGACATTGCTACTCCAATAACACGATCCATCCGCCAGTTTCCAGTTCAATTCTCGATTTCTCGAACTATGTTGCTCGGTCCCAAATCGAAAGAAAAATCGAACATACGAAGATTTATTTATTTATTTTTGTTTCCTTTTTTTTTTTTTTTTTTTTAAGTATCTCGAAAGAATATCGGTACATATGTTAATATATGGACAAGATAATGATAATCGTATGATAATGTATTTGATGTTCGAGAAAGGTGTTATGATGGATCGTGGCGTTTCATTTTATTCGTTATTTGAAGTTTAGGAATTGATTGTCGGGAGAATGATATATTAATACCGTGTTCTTTCCTGCCCGACAATGCGAGCACGATACAATGATGATAATATTATCTTTGTTATACGTTGGTAAAATGGAATGTGTAACGCAATAGGAAATAGAAATAGTAAACAACAAGCGCAGGGTAATAAGATCCGTTTGTATCTATGAAATTTGTATCCTCTTTCCCAATTTAAAGGCAATCCTTTCGCTGATGCAAAATACAATAATGTTACTTAAATTTGACAATTAATTGCGGCAGCTACGGAATGTATTTGTGCTCGAATAATTTCTTCAAAATTCGCCACGATCCGCTCGCCCAAGAGCGGAGAGTTCGAATTGAATCCTCGTCTACGATTAATGGCCGTAATAATTCGGTATATCGCAGGTAGCGCGCATCTGTTTGTCATTGACTTGGGGAATTGAGGCGCTTGAGGACGGCAAGCTGATCGGTTGACATCCACGTCGAACGCACATGCATAATGCGTTCCATTGAACGTAATCAACTAGGAAACGCTTCGGCAAAGCCTTGGAAACCGACCTTGACTCGCCGTAGGAAAGACGGGACGCTTAATGTATGGATGATCTCACACGTGTAAGCGTGACACGAGCGTTTCCAGAAGCTCGTGTCGCTGTGGGAACCGTATGAATATGGATATATCATATATATATATATCCAGCGAACGAAAGTGCATTCGTCGTCGAAACGAGAAGGACGAGTAAATTTTAAATTATCATCGATAAATAATTTATTATATCCGTTGTCGCCGCGTCATTTCGTTAACGCAATCTGAATAATGCAAGAAAAACTTGGAAAAAACAAGAGATGTGTAGAGATATGTTGCACGAGTTTAATCGAAATTGGATAATAATAATGAGAAATATTAATAAACGTGTGTTGGATAAAACGGGGTTAAAATGGGGATCGATCTCTCGCGAGATATATCATTAACAACAAGGTTTTTCCTTTAACCTAAAAGTAGGTGTTTGAGAATGAAATAGTTGCTATTTCCCTCATTTTAATATTTATCCTCGTAAATCTTTTATTTGAATCGTTTCCTCTCTCTCTCTCTTTCTCTCTCTTGCTCAAATTAAATTCAGAAGACACCTCGTGTCCAGATACGAAGTGTGGACATTGAATCTATGTACTCGAAGAAAAAAATTGAGTGTTAATTTCTTGGAAGTGTATCCTAGCAAATCGTTTGTTATATTAGAAAACTATTAGAAAATTTGTTTATGCAAATTTAATTTTATTTAAATGACACGTACGAAGAACAAAGAAAAATTTTTAATTGCAAAAATATTCAGAATTTTTAACGCTCCGTCGTTTAAAATTGTTAATTTTTTTTCGGAGGATGAGGTAAAAATCTTCCTTATGAAGTAATAATACTCGTTCAAAAAAAATATTCATATTTTTGAGCCTGTGAGCATTGAACATTTGATATATATATATTTGAATATCTCTTGTAAATACATAAACATCCGCAATCTAAATATAACCGAGCGGAGGTCCAAGATGGCCACAACGTTCAATAATAGCCGTGACTCGATGTATCGGACGCGTATGTATTGTTTAAACGAGTTCCCTAATAAACTATTTCCTCTATGACTTTCGTGCTTTCCTCTTACGATACGAGAGCCGACCTCCGTGACAATGGAGTGTCTTTTGTGATCACCTGACGTCACGGTATCTTTTGCATTTGTCATCCTGCTGAAAATACCAGCTTACGAGCACCAGCTTCCTTTTTGCTCTTCGACCGGATCGAATGTATTTCTCTCTTTTGCTCGCACGCCGTCTTCTCGAATTCTCGAGATAAAGATCAATCGCGAAATAATAAACACGTTGTTGCAATTATGAATATAATACGCAACAAATAAATATGAACCAGAAAAAAATACCGTAGATATAATTCTGATGCAACAGAAACGTGTTACTGCATGCAATGGAAATGATGTAATCATAAATAACGTGGAAAAAACGCGATTAACCTATTCTTATTGATTTCCCGATTATTTCCCCTCGTATATTATAAACGAGGATATGTAACAATAATTTGTATCGTGTTTTCCTATCTTAGCCAAGAGAATCTTGGAGTAATTTGTAAAAACGATAATTATTTTAATCTTCTCCTGTTTCAGGTATTTAACGATACATCCATTCAGTTATGCAATTTTCCGTCGAGTTAAGTGATAGAAATCGAAAAAAAAAAAAAAGGAAATAAAAATAAAAATCATGGAACGAATTATGGAATTTTGCAACTGGAGTGTTCAAGAAAAAAAAAGTATGCGCGTTCAAAGACTGTAGAAAAAAAAAAAAAAAAAACAAGAAAATTAAAACGATTTATACTACGTTTACTAAACTATGTAATCTTCAATTAGCAAATTATTTTATCGAAACAGTCTTATCTTAACTAATTGAGATATTCTACGTTTAACAAACGTTCCTTTTGATTCCACGGTTAAAAACCATCGGCTCCTTGACCGAGACGAGAATAATATTCTCAACGTCATATTAAAAACAAGAAAACGACGCGACAAAAGCTGATTTCGAATAACGAGGACAAAGCTTTCTCTGTTCTCCATCGTTCTACTAGGAAGTCGGAAGACGGAGAGCAAATTTATCTCCGTCGTTTCTCGAAAGTAATAATAAGTCCTCTGGGACGGTGATCGCCGCGTTACACGCTGCATGGACAAAAGCTTTCGTGGCCGGTCTCACCCACGCAAAACAGGGATTTCACCGGTTTTAAAGAGATTAAGAAGAAGGAAGAAAGGAGAGGAGGAGGAGGAGGAGGTGGCGATCTACACGTTCACTTTCTCGTTTGATGGAGCAAACTGTGTCGCCTGAAAACCGGGTCGTCGGGAATATCGCAGAGAAAGTGAGAGTACACACATCGACGAAGCAAACGTGATGATCGTGATGCGGCTGTTATTTAAATGATACCGTGGATCTACCGCGGGACTCTTGACTCGGGGAGGGCCGGCCAGAGGGCAGCACCTGTTGAACGAATTTTATTAGAAATAGATCGAGGCACTATCTTGATCTCAGTATCGTTTAATTTTTTATTAAATTTATCCTATATACAATGTTAATTATATATAGAATAAATTTCTGATTTTTCCTTCCCCTGAAATTCACTCAATTTATATAGCATATTCGTTCGCATATTATTAATTGATTAACTAAAGAGGAGTACTACTTATAATTAATCGTGAAACTTGTTTTAATAACAACTACGATACTTTGTAACTGATATTGAAAGAGGAAGAAGGAAACAAAGGAAAATGATGCCAGGGAGGGGAATCGCAATTATGAAAATTCAAAGTTAAATTGTTTTTCTTGGAAAGCAACAAATTTACGATAACTACTTGAACAATTCGAACAACGAAAATAAAGTAAATTTAGAGAATATTAAGAAGAAACCTAAAGCCATGAAAAGAGACTAAAACGTGAATCAAATTATTCGCGTAATATACATAATTTTCTTGAATTAAAAATTCGTCCCTTCATTTTTTTCCCCCTTCCCCCAAATAATATCATAACAAACAGCAATTTCGAAACGTTCGAATGAATCGGAAAGTTTTGCATGCGGCTGAGTATATGTACATATATCACTGGCGAAAGCGAGCAACCTGGCAATCAGCGACGAATTTCAATAGTATCGTTCCATAAGCTTTCGCACATACGAGCAGAAAAATATATTACACACACACATACATGTATACACGTATAAAACTTTCGATTTAACCAGTCGCGGTCCTTTCTGCAAGGAGAAAGAGACTGCTCCGTTTCTATCGCGTAACTCGTGACCTATTCACCCACTTCGAGTTTAGCTTATTCCCCATTGTTCGCGAGTAGACAATGAGCCCAAAGGAATTCTTCTTCGAAACATCTCCCCCGACGTATTACTTTCGACAAGGGAGAAACAAGGTCGAGACGAGCGTTTTTCCCTCCCGGGCGTGTGCGCAACAAATCTCATTCCTGTACGCGAGTTATGGAGGTGTAAAGGTGTAGGCGTAGGCTTACGAAGCTGTAGAAAGTGAATTGAACTTGTTCTGGCAAAGTGACAACTGTGTTTCACCCACTTTTTACCGCGAGTCTTGGGGATTTAAGTAGGTAATTAAATTGTGAAAAGAAATTAGATCTCTCGCCGTTTTCTTTAATTGGAGTTTTGTCATTTTTGTATGGATGAAAGTGGCGACGAGTAAACGAAATTTTAATAAAAAAGGTTCGCTCATGATTTCTTCCTCGAAATTTTTTCTAATTATTAATTTTAAAAAGATAACGATCCTTATTTAACTTAGGCAGTTACCAGATAATCTAGGATTAAATTTCTTTTTAATTTAATCTTTTTGCTTTTAACAGGAAAGAAATTAATAATCAAAGGATCGAATGTCTTAATTAAAATGTTGTTCCTTGTGATTCAGTTTAGAAAAAAATAACATTTCTTTTGATCATTTATGTAATTCTTTACATTGAACGAACTTTGTTTATTGGAATAACATTTTAATTAGTACAGATTCAATTTACTTACCTTGAACTTCTTGAACTTATAAAAATCATGGTGTAACTTCAACTGTATGAACTTTTGATCCCAATGAAATTTCACTGCAACAAAGAAAAAGTTGTATTAACATTTATACAATTATCCTTATTTAAAAATTTCGTGTCGTCAATTTACTTTTAAAGTAAAATTGAAAAAGAAAAGAAAAATCTTGGTTCTTAAATCCATTCGCGTGGAAAAATCGCAAGAAAGAGTAGTAGATCATCGAGTAGAATTTTTGCAATAAATATCAATCGAAAGTTACGTGCAATTTATATATATATATAAGGTATATAGGTAAAGTTTGTTCGATAAATGCTAGATAGAATCACATAGGAGAAGTAACAAGTCCCTTGCTATAAATACATTTCGCGTGAGACGTAGAAGCCATGTGACCTTTAACCTCGAAAGGCAGACGGTCTGAAAGCAGAGTTCTATAGAATCTGAGAGACAGTTCGGTGGCATATATTTTCGGGGTCGTGACCCACTTAATCGAGCAAAGTGTGCTGCCTGTGTCCCTATTCGATCCCTTTCGAAGGCCACAAATCATCGAAATAATATACCAATTCGAACATCTCAATAAAATATAAACGCAATAGTTCACGAAAATATATGAATCCTTCCTCCCTTTCTTTTTAACCAAAATACTTTATTTTAAGAAGATGAAATAAATTCTCAAAGTTTCAGTGTTTTCGAGACGGAATGAAATTTTAAATTGGAAAGATTGCAGGATTCAAGGAAAATTATAAGAAAAATTTCTAGCCAAAAGAAACTTTCCATAGATAAAAATATTATCTCGCTACGATTATAATTTAACGTGTTCCGTTTAACGTAAATCAGATCGAATGAATTTCCGGATCTAAAATTTGGTGTTCCAAATTAAGTAAAAATTTCGTACATTCATCGCAATCTGACCGATTTCTTATAACGTGTATCGCTTCTGTGTACCACAAACCTACGGTATGCCTAATCGATTGTGACGATCGAGTGACCCGATTATATTTTCTGCGATTAGAACTGCCATTGCCAATTCGGTAAGTAAGCTTCGATTTCGATCGTTTTTACTCTTTCCATTTGGAATTTGATCAAGATACCAAATCGTGATTTGGTGAATAACCTATGGTAAAGATGTAAAAGGTGAACCTACTTTGATGGATTTGGATAGGTAGAAAGTTTGGGAGGAAGAGTTGTTTAAGAGCTGTTCCGCCTGGAATACAGATTTTCTATTCCTTTTTTTCAACTAAACGGATTCAGCTTTACACACAATTTACATTAACACGAATATTTAAGAAATTCTACATCTTTAAAATTACAAGTGAAGATATTTCGTCATGAAAGCATCGATTATTTTATCTAGT